TTGTACCACTATGATAATATGACACCTATTAAGTTATATATCACAATGGTTTCTTATCATTTAAACATTTAAGTCATTTAGAATTAAACTTAGGTTTTCTTTTACATACATAGTACTCCGTACAAAATAAGTTAATTAAATTGGCAAAATCATTAAGATTTCCCTAAACTTTCACAACTTTATATAAAACAATGTTGTTAAACTAATTTGCATTGAGTTCCAGATACTAGTTCCAGATTAAATCACATTTTTTTTTTGAGAGGGCATCTCTCATATTTATTGATCAAATGGTTAACAACAATAAAATTCTGTATAGGGGTCTCAATGCACAATCATTAATCAACCCCAAGCCTAACTCTCAACAGTCTCCAATCTTCTGAAGCATAATGAACAAGTTCTTACATAGTGAATAAGTACTTACATGGTGAACAGTGCAAGGGCAGTCATATCACAGAAACTTTCGGTTTTGATCACGCATCATGAACTATAAACAATCAAGTCAGATATGATTATTCATTTGGTTTTTATACTTGATTTATATGTGAATCCCACATGTCTCCCTTATTATTTTTTTTAAATAAAATGCTGAAGTGGTAGGTAGATGCAAGATAAAGATACAAAGCATAATTTAGTGCTGTAAGAGGGCAAGTGTAGATGATCAGGTCTGTGCCTATAGACTAAGTATCAATCCAAGCTAGACAAGGGCAACAAAACATCCACGGATGCAGATTTCTCTCAAAACAGGCTGGGTGAGGTTCTAAGCCTCACCTTGTTGATCCCCAATTTCTCACCTGATGGCCCCCCTGTGACTGTGCCTGTCTTAGGTTGTTCTTCCCTTGAGGAATCTTACCCGTCTCTGACTTAAATTTCATTTTAAATCAACACACTTCTTATTCAATTTTAAGTCAACACACCTACATATTTATCAATCATCACTATATATACTGCACTACAAAGGATAAAAGAAGTGCAGATAAAGTTAAATGAAGAGGGAAAATTTGAATTGGACTGTGCACGATGGATGAGGTCACACATTTTAGTGGTGGGATGCAAGAGGGAGAAAATGGAGAAAAGGGGAAAGTTGAAAACAAATGTCTGTGATGTGAATGATTATTCAGTTGTAATAGAGATGTTACTAGAACCAGCCTTAGATCTGAAACAGACAATTCACACAAGAATAAATAAAACCTAAAACATGTGAACACAGGGTTATCCATTAAAACCATCTACCCTTCAACCAGAAAGTCCAAACTGAAACAAACCCCTAAATTACATGAAATACAAGAATGAATAAAAGAATTAAAGATATTGCATGGAATATTATACAGATATATAAAAATGGTATTATTTAGCATCAAGTAAAAAATAGGACATGAAATTGCATGTATAATGTTATTACAAAAATAAAAAAAAATTGTCTGTAACCCAAACTGCAGGAAGAACTTAGAAAGAAATATGTATGTCTCCCTTCTAGATTCTCTTTAATACCAATCTCACATACTCTTTTTAATAATTGGTTTGAAAGTGCATATGAGGAAGACTGAAATGCGCAGATTGGCTAGGGAGGGAAGAATGATATAATAGGTAAATCAAAAGGTGAAAATTATAAAGAGAAAGAAATGACTATCTAAATATTATTTAAATGCTAATGAATTTAGTATACATTCTCTTCATTTTTAAATAATATTCTAATTAATTAGCCAAAAGAATCAGGAAAAGAGAAACATGAGATAATAGTGCATTAGTTAAATGCTCCGTATTACTATTTCATGACCAGTTTTTTTCAGACGCTCTAATGAATGCTGTAATTTTTTTTGAAGCATGATATTGGACAACTACAGTAGCCTAAACATCTAAACATGACTACCTAAAACATCTACATTTGGATTTTTCAGAAATACGCTTGCAGAATCAAAAATAGACTTTCTATATTATATATTACCATTTTACTCATTATTCCTTTGTGTAAATCTAAGTTTCCCTCTCGTATCATTTTCCTTCATCCTGAACTTCCTGTAACATTTCTTGCAGTGCAGGTTTGCTGATAAGAAAATGTCTTTATTTCACCTTCATTTTTGAAGACTATATTTGCTGGATATGCAATTATAGGTTAATAGAGATTGATAGGTCCCACTGTCCACCCCCTCCAGAAATTTAAAAATGTCATTCCATTGTCTCTTGACTTGCATTGGATTTGACGACCTAAGACATCATACATACCGTATTTTCCCTGTATGTAATGTGTCTTTCCCTCTGGCTGTTGGAAAGATCTTCTCTTATCATTGGTTTTCAGCAATTAACTACAATGTACTCTTGGAGTGGTTTTCTTTATGATTATCCTTCTTGGTATTGACTGAAAAATAAGACCTGTGTGTTGATATTTTCCATCAAATATGAAAAAATTTCAAGCATTATTTCCTCAAAATTCTTCCCCGACTCTTCCTATAATCCCAACCACCCATATGCTGCACCTCTCCATGTCCCAAAGATCACTGAGCCCTTGTTCCTTTTAAAAAAATAACAATAACTTTTTAGAACAGTTTTAGGTTTACAGAAAAATTGAACAGAAAGTACAGAGAGTTCCCATATACACCCCTCTTTCATGCATACAGTTTCAGATATTCTTAACTTGAATTAGTGTGGTACATTTGTTACAATTAGTGAGTCACTATTGATACATTGTATTAACTTAAGTCCATAGTCTACATTAAGGTTCACTTTTTGTTCTATGGGTTTTCACAAATATATGATGACATGTATCCACCATTTAGCTTCATAGAGGGTAATTTCACTGCCCTAAAAATTCTCTGTGCTCTGCCTATTCATCTCCCTTCTACCTGAGCCCTGGAAAACCATGGGTCATTTTACTGTCTTCATAGTTTCACCTTTTCCAGAATATCATGTAGTTGGAATCATATAGTATATAACCTTTTCAAACTGGTCTCTTTCACTTAAAAATATGCACTTAACATTCCTCATGTCTTTTCGTGGCTTGATAGCTCATTTCTTTTTAATCACTAAATAATATTCCATTGTCTGGATGTACCACAGTGTTTATCCATTCTACTAAAGGATGTCCTAGTTACTTCCAAGTTTGGGTAGTTATGAATAAAGCTGGTATAAACATCCATGTGCTTGTTTTTGTGTTGACATGCATTTTCACTTCACTTGGGTAAATACAAAAGAGCACAATTGCTGGGTAATATAGTAAAGAGTATGCTTAATTTTATAAGAAATTTTCAAACTGTTTTTCCAAAGTGGCTGTACCATTTGCATTCCCACCAGCAATCAGTGAGAGTTCCTGCCCTTGTTCATTCTTTCTCACAATTTTCCCCCTTTATTTGGTAGTTTGGCCAGTTCCTACTGCCATTATTTCAGGTTCATTCATCTTTTCTTCTTGAGTTTGCAGTTGTCATTACTATTGGTTTAACCAGGGAATTTTTAATTTCAAACATTGCATTTTTTAGCTCTATAAGTTCCATTTCACTATCTTTTAAGTTTCCATTTCCTTATTAAGACTCCTCCAACTCTCCTCTCATCATCTTCATAGTTTCTTTTAATTCCTTGAACATATTTATAAAAGTGGTTTTAAAGTCTTCATCTGCTAATTTAATCATCTCTATAATTTCTGTGTCCATTTGTATTATCTGATTTTTCTCCTTGTTATGGATCATGTTTACTTGTGTGTATTACATTGTTGAGTGTCTAGATTTTGTTGTCTCTTTTAGATGGTATTGACTTTTGTTCTGGAAGCAATCAAGGTACTTGTGGATTGACATGATACTTTTGAATCTTGTTTTTAAACTTGGGTGAGGAAGATCTAGTCTTCATTTTTGAGCTAGAATGTCATTGTCCTAAGGTGTGGTCTTTCTTGGGTGTCAGGGGACAATGAGTATCAGGGGCCAATTAGGTGTCTCCCCTCCAGTTGGTTAGAACTCCAATGTATAGTTCATAGTTGTTTATCATAGGTACTAGACAGTGTGTCAGAGTCAAAAACAGACATCTAGTATAGTGTTTTTGATTTTTAAACATTTTTATTATGGAGAATTTCAAACATATACAACGAATACACAAATAAAATGAAATCTTAGACACATATCACTCAGCTTCAGTAATTAGCACTTCATGGTCATTGTTGTCTCATCTATACCAATGATTCATTTCCCCACTTCTGTTTTATTTTGAAGCATACATTAGCAATCATTTCATCCACCAATATTTCAGTATTATCTCCAATAAATAAGGTTTTTTAATGTAGCCACAATACCAAAATCATGCCTTAATAAATTCATGGTGATTCGTTAATATAATCACAGAAAGAGTAAGTGTTCATAAACAATAGAAGATAGATTCTATTTTTATATGTTCTTGGGCAATTCAGTTAATTTCCTGGTGCCTCCATTTCCTAATCTGTAAACTGGGTCTAATGGAAGGAAGTTGGGCTAGGTATTATCTCAGGGCCCTTACCTCCATCTTTGTTCTCCAGCTAGAAATCTTGTATTTTTATAGTAAAAGTCATGATTTTGGTTTTTGAGCTACTTACATTATTGGAAAAAAAAGTAAGTATAAATTCCCCATTGGCTTACAAATGTCATAATTTTTTTCATGGTTGGTTTAAATCAGGATGCAAATACTTATTAAACATAATGAAGGTAGGGAGAAATCAAGAAGGAACTGGATCAGGCAAGGCCAGGGAGGAGTGAGTTTCAAACAGGAGGCATTATTCAATAATGACAATGCTGCAGAAAAGTCAAATGAGAAAAGAGCTAAAAATGTCTGCTGGATTTAACAAGAAGGGTCTCAGTAAATCGCTTTCCCAGAGTAGCTTAGGTGGTAGTGTGTGGCGGGGGGAGAGGGGATAGTTGGACCCAGATTGCAGTGGATTGAATGGTAAATGGGACTTGAGAAGGGAAGATGCGCATAGATAAAGCTTCCTGGAGGCTTGGTTGTGATGCAAATGAGAAAGTGATAGAGGAATAGAGGAATTTTTTTTTTTTAAGATGAGAAAGTCCAAGCACCTGTTTAATGCTGAATGGAAACAGCAGCAGAAAGACACAGAAGCAAGGTACCGATGTCTGATGGAAGGCTCCTGAGGAGGAGGGAATGAGAACATAACAGAGGTGGAAACCTGCCTATATACAAGGTAATGCCTCTTCCATACTGATGCAAGGGTTAAAACAGCTACAGATGTGAAAAATTGGTTGTTGGAGCTCAGGGATTTGGGGTACATCCCATTTGATGGTATACAGTGGAAGCTGAGTTAATCTTGTCATGCCAAAGGTTTCAGCCTGGGAAGATTCACTACGGACTCAGTGAGACCAAGAAATGACAGTGGAATGTTCTTAGGGTGAAAGGGTTATACCCAGCTTTATTCTCATGGCTGTAGGTCGAGCACTGGAATCACATCTGCATCCAGCAGTCTACAGGTCTGTAATCCACCTCCTCTCTGCCTCCGTGCAGAGCAGTAGGCCAATTATATTATCAGGTAGTTCAGGCTAAGGTGAGGATCTTGGCCATAGAAACTTCAATTTTCCCCACAATCTGCTAAAAATAACAGGGGAGGGAGTGGGGATTTTTAAAAAGTAATGAGGTTTAAAATAGGTTTTGTGGAGAATAGGAGAGAAAACTAAGAGGCTCTAAGAAGGATGCAGTATTGAGGGCCCAGCACAGGTTAGAGACAGGCACTCTCCTTGAGGCACCTGCCAGCAATGGACTGATTTTCTTGAGCCACACTCAGGATACCAGATGTTTGCCATCACTGTGTGGGAAAATGGAAATTCCTGTGGCCAGGATCCTCACCTGAACCTAAACTACTTCATGTAACTGGCCTGCTGCTAGGCTACTTCTTCCACACCCGTAGGCAATGAGCTATTACTGACTGAGTCACTATATAAATAGCTCTTCCCAGCGCTCTGGGCAGAAGCAGAGATGGAGGAGGGTTACAGGCCTGTAGACTGTTGGACTGGGATGTGAGTCTAGTGCCCCACCTACTGACCTACCTACTGTTGTGGGAATAAAGCCAGGTATAAATCCTTTTACCCTAAGAACTGTTCTATTGTCATTTCTAGGTCTCACTGAATCCACAGTGAACTTGCCTGGGGGTGAAACTCTCAGGCAAGACACCCTGTGTCTACAAGACACAATTTTTAAAAAGCTTAAAGGAAATGAGAATTCATCATCTTTTACTTGTGCTCTATTGGTCTGGTGGTCTTCAGGTCTAATAATTACGTTTTAGGAATCTTTCAGTGAAAGATCTGGGAACTTGCCTTGATTAATACCAAATGCCTTATTTAATCCTGTTTTCTTCCACCCTACCCCACAACATCTTGACCTGTAAATACTGGTCTTGTGTATTGATACTCTTACCCCAGCCAGGTGGCTTTCAGCCAGATTTGTTTGTGGGATCTTCCTTGCAACAGTTACCAAGCTCATGATGTGGAGCAGCTTTCATGGGACACTGTAGTCTCCTACCCCAGTAGGATCAATCTCAGAGCGTTGGGTCTGTTTCCAGTATCCTGAGCTTTGCCAGTCCCTAAATCAATCTCATTTATGCCTTTCTCTGGGTGATGACTACTAGAAAGGTGATTATCAATTGAAAAGTGACAATAATATACACAATCCTCCTGGCTTGACATCAACAATCCTCAGGGAAATGCAAATTAAAACTACAAAGAGATACCACTATTTGCCTATCAGAATGGCTAAAACAAACATTTAAAATATGAATTTAAAATATAAATATAGATTGATGTCAGTGATAATAAAGATCATTCACTTATAGTTCCCAAGCAGGAAGTGCAATTCATAAAATCTGCCATAATCCCAGACCTCAGAAACTCCCAAGTGCCTTCTGAGACCGTAGTCCCGTGGAGATGTAGCCACTGTCGTTAACTTGTCACTGAAGTCCAAGAAAAAGCCTGTTCTTCCCAGGAAATGGCCCACTGTATTTAAACCAATTATGGAAGTCCTGGGACAATATTTTTTCCCTAGAAAAGTATCTATGGTGTTTACAAAATATTGCCATCAGTAAAGATAGCAATCTAGGTATAATGTAGTTATATCTTTCTTCCCTTGATACTGGGAAAAAATGCCTTTTAAATTTTGAGCTTGTTTGTTTTGGCAGACCCTTGCCTAAATATTCATTTATAGGCTGGAAACTCCCTTAATATTCACAGTAAAATGAATTATTTTCTCCCTTCTTTTGCAAAATAAATAAGATAAGCAAATTGTGACCATTGACTTTTTTTTTTAAGTAAGGCACACACACTTTCTGCATGCACCTCTCTCAGAAGACAAATTATACATATGTTTGGGAAATGTTTGGGAAATGCCTGTGAGCTGTGCTGCTTTTCCCTGACTTAAGGTGGTTTAGAAAGAGCCTGCCCATCAAGTTGGGCTCAAATGAATTGATGGGGTTATGATACGATGTGGCCATGGGAGGAAAAAGAAAGTGTCAGAAGGCCTCCCTGTTTGACATCCTCTTGGAGTTTGTGTTGCAGGCAAAGTCAGCTGTGTCTGTCCTTTCTAGGATTGTGTTAGGTAGAGATTAAAGGGATGGTAGGGTAATCCTTTGACTTGTTGCTTGGAATCCTGGAACTGTCACCTCATCACTTACCATAACACAGGGTCTCTCCCAGTGCAATCCCTGACCAGCGGCATCAGCTTCACCTGCAAACTTGTTAGAAATGCATATTGTCAGCCCCATTCCAGACCCACTAAATGAGGAAGTCCTAGGAGGCTTAACAAATTCTACAGGTGATTCTGGTGTATGCAAAATTTGAGAATAGATAAAAAAAGGCCTAGCCCAGAGGGAAGAAGCCAGTAACAGAGAGACTGACAGAGAAGTTGTTGTCCGTACTGAGATTCCCAGAGGTGGGAGCCTGGAACGCCCCAGGCAGGAGAGAGGACAAACTGGCCTTGGGAGGGAGAGACATTGCCCTCTCTGAAAAGAGATTTGGAGGCAAAAACTATCTTTTTATGTTTGGAAGTAGAATGGCAGAAAGTTAAGGCCTTCAAACTTGACCACCTCTATGTTCTCAAAGGCATAGGTGAGCAGACAGGGAATGGAGTGGAGTTGGAACAGCCAGTGTAGACTTGAAAAGTGACAATGATATCCACAATCTGCCTGGCTTGACATCAGTAATCCTCAGAGAAATGCAAATTAAAACCACCAAGAGATACCACTACTGGCCTAGCAGAATGGCTAAAATAAACAAAACAAAACAAAATAAGGGCCGGCAAGGATGCAGGGTGACTCTCACATAGAGATATTTGGAATGCAAAACAGTGTTTGCATCACACTACAGAAAAGGTGAAACTATTATAGGAACAGATCAGTGCCAGTGATTAGATCTGGGGAGGACTTGACTACAAATGGGTAGGATGGAGGAATTTTTTTGAGGTGATAAAACTGTTCTGTATCTTGATTGTCATGGTGGTTGCATAATTTTAAACATTTCTCAAAACTATTCATAGAGAGCTGAACATCAAAAATAATAAATTTTATTGTATGTTAATAAGTAAAAGAAAGACAGATAAAGAGACCGCTGCTTTCTCATGGCCCAGTTCAAATGTTCTCTCTCTTATGGAACATTTTCCGTTCCCATCATAATTACTTGCTCTGTCTATTTCCCTCTACCCCTTCACTTTTATCTCTGCTTTTATCACATTATTTAGTGATATTCATCTCTCACCACCAAAAATAAATGTGAGTTGAAGACTCTTGGCATGTTCCCTTCTCATCTATATCTTGTCGATATGCCCAGTGCCTGGTTTAGAGCCTTATACCTGGGGTACACCTAAGTATATGTCAGAAGGAGTGAGTGGATTTGCATTTTGTTTAACTTCAGAATTTTTTTTTTAGAGTTAATTTAATCTGATTTATATAGGATGATCCTTTACATATTCTCAGACAGCCACCTGTCTTGCCTAAATATACTTTTTAACAAAAGAAACATCCCCAGGCTCTTGGAGATAGTCCTCTTACGATATGATTCTATGTCCCTTCACCAACATTATTATTCACCTCTGAATTTAAGACCACTTATGGCAAAACAAAAAAGAAATGTCCTATAATAAAAACTGTCCAGTAATGCCACAGGCCACCTTACAAGGCAGTGAGTTTACAGTCATAGAAAGAAGAGCTTTGAAGACTTTCTCAGGGATGTTGCAGAAAGATTATTAAATCAGAGAAGATATTACACTCGATGTCCTCAAAGACAACTTTTGATTTTATGATCTTATATTGCACACTGAGATTCTGTTTATATTCCCTCAGAAACCAAAAAATATTCTGGAAAAAAAATGAGGGATACTTTTTTAATCTTGAAAGGGGAATGGCCTTTATAAACATGACCCCAAACACAAAAGCAATAAAAGTAAACTGGTAAGCTTAACTTCATAAACTTGTAAACTTTCTAAATGGCAATAAAAAAGCAAACCAAGACCATTGACAATGGGATATGAAAAGACCATTCACAGAAATTAATATAAATGGCAAACATGAACAATGCTTAATTGCATAACTGAAAATCTGAGAGTATTGCATATTTTACCTGTCAGATTAGCATTTCTTTTTAAAATAAAGACGACTTTATTTTAAATAAAGTGTCATGCCTAGAGGTAAATAAGCCTTCTTATACACGGTTAATGAAACAGTAAATTGTTGCAAAACATTTCAAGGCATTTGACAATATCTATCTATGATGTTTTTTTATCAGTTTTAGAAAAAATTGGCCATTATCTATTTGAATATTGCCTCTCTACCCTTATCTCTTCTTCTGGTATCCCAAATATACGTATGTTAGCCCAGATAATCTTGAAGAACAGCTGAACTTACAGTACCACATGTCAGAAAGTATTATAAAACTATAATAAAACTGTGGTGATGGTGCAAGGATAGACAAAGCAACTATGGTAGCAGAATTCTAAAGATGCCAATCCCCAACCCATCCCCTTAAGATTACCATTCACTGTTATTTAGTCAAATCTAAATGAAATACTGCTGTGAAAGAACTTTGCTGATATAATTGCAGTTACTATTCAACTGACCTTAAAATAGGGAGATTATACTGGCTTATCCTGATGGGCCCAGTGTAATCACATGAGTCCTTAAAAGCAAAAGAGGAAGGCAGCAGAGGGTAA